AATTTTGATACCAGAAACTTCAGAAAGCACCTTGGAAAGAAATAACACCCAGCAGTACTTGTTCAGCCCGATGTACCGCTCAGATGGGGATGGGGATGGTCCAGGTACTTCAGGGTTGGATGGTCGGGGGAGAGTGAAAGAAAACAGAGGCCAGACAGGCTCCTAACCAACCAGCAAAACAGGCCGGAAGAAAGCATTGTACTTCTCATAAAAACAGCAGTGGACGAGCACACTTTAAGCCCTGCACTTGGTAGACAGAGGTAGGTGGATCTCTGTGAGTTGTAGGCCAGCCTGATCTACAAAGCCAGTTCCAGGACAGCCATGGCTACACTGAGAAACCCTGTCTCGAAGAAAAAAAAACACAACAACAACAAAAACAAAAACAGCTCTAAAAAAAGTGTCAACTAAGATAATTTTACCTAAGAATTCTGTAAGGGACACAAGAGCATCTGTGATGTGGTCCACATTACCACAGAACAAGCAGACCAGACACGGAGCTTAGGAGCCATGAGCTGCAAGTGAATGAAAATGCATCCAATCTGAAATCAAATAAACATGCCTGGGCTCTCAGCCAGGGAGAATTTTTGGATTGTACTTTTATCAGGGACCTAAATTTTAACCAGCTGGAACCCCTCATCCACCCCAGTACCACCCTATTCCTTTCTACCTTTGGAGATGAAGTGTTTGCCTTAAATGGGAAATTTGTACTTCACGGTAAAGACAGTGCCAGCATACAGTTTCTGAATTGCTGAAGACACTCTTTGGGGGGAAGGGGTTTGGAAATGGTAGTTCAGACGCAGGAGACCAGGGAATATGTACCCCATCTAGGGTACAAGAAATGGCTCATAAGGAAAGCTACTAAACAGAAATCTGTAAGAATGGATTCTTAGGGTTTTGATTTGTTTGTTCACTTTGCTTGCTTGCTTGCTTTTTAAGGTAGGGTTTCATTACATAATAATTCATGTTGGCCCAGAACTGACAATATGGCCTCCAAGCTGGCCTTGAACTCTCAGTCCTACTAAACCTGCTGCCCTGCCTTCCAAGCGTTCATGGGTATGGACCAATGTGCCTATCTTAGCGTGGGGGTGGGGGTGGGGATGAGGTGGGGGGTGGGAATCTCAGCACAAGAGATTGACATATTAAAGTCACCCATCAGAAACAGAACCATTCTGCCATCAAAATAAGAGTTGAGGCTAGAGAAATAATTCAATGTGTATGAGCGCTTGCTGGGCAAGCAAGAAGACCTAAGTTCGAATCCCCACTACCTGAGCAAAAAGTCAAACGTGGCCACCAGTGCTTGTATTATTATGTCTATAGTGCTGTGGAAGGCAGAAACAGGATCACTGGGGCTTGCTGGCTGCCAGCCTAAACCCAGGTTCAGTGAGAGACCTTGTATCAAGGCAATAAAACAAAGTAACAGAACAGATCACCTGACATCCTCTGGCCTCTGCATGAGTGCACACGTGCAAGACCTAATCTAGTAAATCAATTAAATAAAACACACACATCAAAAAAAAAAAGTAGTAGTAATAAGAGTCAGCCAGTGTCAATGTGGTCACCAGTCCCTCTGGAAGCTGCATTAATTGTTACTCCTTTGAAAAAAAAAAAAAAATTATTATTCAAAGCACAACTTTGCCTGGCACAGACGTGAGGCCGTTCTCCTCTTTTCTTTTCCTTCTTCAAGTAGTTGAGGAAGTGTGCCCACAATTCATTTCTAAACACCGATCTGTGCTGAGATGGTATCAGTTCTTAATTACCCAACAGGTAATAGGGAGGTTGTGGAACCTGACCACTTGAACCAGGCCAGCTCCCGGCGCCAAGAGCAGCTCTCCTGGGCAATACCACCCTACAGCAGCCCGAAGGACCCATGGAGATTAAGGGGAGCACTAACTCATCTGTTCTCCAGCACCCTGGCCCCTCCTTCAGGCTTCAAGGCTCCAAGAGAAACTCAGACCCCAGGATACCCACTTCTGTTCGAATCACATATACTGTACCCTTTTTCTTGTTTGTTTGTCTGAAGTAGGGTATGTGTGTATGTATCTTGGCTGGGCTGGAGTTCAGTATGTAGGCCACGCTGGCCCCAAACGCACGGAAATCTGCCTACCTTCACCTTCTGAGTGCCGGGACTAGCGGCTTGCAGCACCACCCCCACCCATCTTCATTCTTTATACTTCCCCTCACCCTCGAAGCAATGGCGATGACTCCAGACCCTCTAGGACGCTAGGCAAGCGCTCTACCAATGAGCTACAACACCCTCCCAATCTTTTCTTTGCTTCTTTTTTCTTTTCTTTCTTTCTTTCTTTTTTTTTTTTTTTTTTGAGGAACTCACAGCCATCCTCCTGCTTCAGCCTTTGACCCTTATTCTCACATACACAGACCCAACTAAACTGTAAGTGACAGTAGAGAGGCCAATGTCCACAGGCTGAGTACCAGACCTGGTTAGAGAGGCAGATATGACTCAAATACCCAAGATTCCAAATGCTAGTACCTATTGGAACGCCATGACAAAGCAACCCTAATTCCCAATTACTGAGGTTTCGACAGGGAGGGCTTCCAGCAAGAAGCCATGCTGGAGCTGAAAAACACACAAAAAGGTGAGAAGCAAAGGCATGAAATTTCCCCAAGATTTAAAGGTGGCTGTAGCCAGAGCACTGCTCTCAGGCACCACAGCCTGTGCTAAGGCTGCTTCAGACAGGGCACAGCACTGAGATCTCCTAGACTGCAGCCCACTGGAGACTGACCAGACCTCAGGCTATCACACATGTGTTCTATCGCTGAGCTACATCAATCCCAATCTCTCCTGTTCTCTCTCTCTCTCTCTCTTTCTTTCAGAGACAGTCTCTCTCTAAGTTTCCCAGGCTAGCCCTGAAACTCATTCTGAAGTCTAGGCTGGCCCAAAACTTTGGATCCTGCTGCCTTGGGCGCCTAAGTGGCTGAGACTACAGCACTAGGCTCCACTCTCGATTGATCAAATCATTCAACATAGGATTTTACAGAACAATTGCAGGGTCTTCACGGCCTCAACTAAGATTCATTGGACCCCAGGCTCTGAGGCCACCAAGGAAACTAAACACAGAAAGCTGGTGGGCAACAAAGAGTAAGGGGAAGTAAAGCAGGGGGCATGGCATTCTGGGAGGGCTTCCCTAAAGAGGCATCACACCACACGAGCTGACTGTTAAGTCAAGCAGGGTGCTCTCGAAGCAGAAAAGAATCAAGATGGAAAGCACACCGGGGCAGTGTGAAGGGAATCAGAAGCTGGGTAACAAGGAGGGAGGGGCAGAAGGGAGGCTCTGTAAGGAGGCTCTGTAAGGAGGGTAGGTAAGCTGGGCCTACTTTCACAGGTACCAAAGCAGGCAATTACAGAAGGAAAGGAGCCATGGAAAAGAGCCTGGAATCTGGGATATGGCCCAGAAGCTCCCACGCTCATCCAGGAAGGAGATGATGACCCAAGGAAAGGAGCGTACGCACCAAGACGGGAGCTGCTGGGATCATTCCCAGGAGGCCAGGAATGTGGGTGACTGTGATGGGGGTTGGGAGGATGTGTCCTACGGATTCCTAAGAACGAAAACACTGCTCTGGCCTCTTCAGAGACCTCCATACACCCAATGTTAACGCTCAGACTTTCCAGGCTGTATCTACTCTAGGCTACTACAGAAAAGCAGCAACGGCCACCACTGTCCAGATCTAAGATTGATAAGTCAACCGGAGATAGACAGCCGTAAAGAAATCTGGAATCTGTTAAAACTAGCAGTGATGCTTTACTGCAATGGAACACGTTAAGAAATGGTTGAGGCTTTACCCAAACGCGAAGCAGTAACAGCGATCAAGTGTAAAATGTGGGAATCGTGGACCAAAGCTGCCTGGCTCATACCTGGTTTTCTGAACTGTGATTCTCTCTAAAGGTGAAGCAAACGGGCCAACTGTCCCTAAGGGGTGCCATGTCCTGGGTTTAATCTGTACTGAGGCTATTCAGTAGACTCCAAGGGAAAAGATGTCAACCTTGGTCTAAGCAAACTGCCCGGACAAATCCCTGAGCCCTGGGGAAATCAGTAACACCATCCCCATCCCCCTCTGCCTGCTACTTTCTAGGTAAGGAAACGTGCTCCTGGCTGCCTGGACGCAGCCTGTTCCCACAATAGAGTTGAAGGTGTAAGTAGCCCGACGCGCAGCTCCCTTGTCTCTGTGGGAGACTCAAGGTCCGCAGACGAGGGGACCGCACTACGCACACAGCATCAAAGGAACATCCAGCTCTGGGGAGACGGCTTCCAAGTCCCCGAGAAAGTCTGGGCGCCACCACGGTGGCAGGTCTGGGACACCTGGTGGAGCAGACAAGTTTTCCCTGCCCTCTGGCTATTAAAACCTCCTCCACCCAAGCTGGGGCGTTTCGGGAGGGAGCGTGGAGAGTGGACCATCAGCTAGACGGAAAGTAACGTTTCTCAGAAAGCTGGAAATCAGCGACGGGGTAGGAGTAGGGTGACGGCGCTGCCTAGAAGAAACAAAACGACTGCGGGAAACGGAGTGCATCCTTCCCTAACACTGCAAGTCCCCTCCCCTGGCTGCCCTGAGCCCTGGCAGAGCTGTGGACAGGAGGTCCAGGGCACGAACCCCAAACCGGCTCCGAAGCGCCCTCGACCCGCCGACTGCCCGGAAGATACCAGTGCGGGACGCGCAGCCCCGGGGCAGAGGGCCGGGAACAAAGGGTGGGGCGCACGGCCCCCGCCACTCCGCCCCGCCACCCGCCCTCGGGCGTCGGACCCCGGCCAGCAGCCGCGCCTCATTAGCAACACAAAGCCGGGGTCGGCGGCCCCTTTCATCCCGCGCGGGGCCGGCGGACGCACGCCCGGGGACCCAGACGCCGGGTGCGCTGGAGGAGCCGGGGACCCCGCAGCCCGCAGAGGAGGGGTCCGGCAACGGGTCGGCCCCGGCTCGCCCGCGCGCGGTCACCTGTGCGCGCCGCGCGCCCCCAGGTAACCCAGACCCCGGGGCAGCCTTCGCCTTACCCTCCAGCCGCAGGTGTCGGCGCCCCTCGCGCGGCCCGAGCCGCCCGCGGCCACTGCCAGCTGCGAGCCGTTGAGGCAGGCGTTGACAGTGAAGAAGAAGGAGCAGAGCTGCAGCCACGGGGCCATGGCCGTACGCTCGCCCAGCTGGGCCCTGCTCCGCTCGGCTGCCGCCAGCGGCTCTCGCCCCAGCCCCGAGTGGGCGGTGGCAGCGGCGACCCAGGGCTGTCCACACGGGGCATGCGCCGCCGAGCTTCGCCCCGCCCCTCGCCCCGGGTCCCGCCCCCAAGCCCAGCCCTCCTGCCTTAGTCCGGCCCCGCAGCCGGTTGACTCTGGCTTCAGCAGGTTTCCGCCCCGTCACTGAGGGATTTTTTTTTTTTTTTTTTTTTTTTTTTTTTTTTTATCCAAAGGATTTCTCCAAAGGAGGACTGCTCCATGCAAAACCTTGGGGAGACTCAAAGGATATAATAATGGTAATTTTTAAATTAATAATTTAATAAGTACTTGCTTTTCAAATGTCAAGCTCCTACCAATGACCTAGGGAAATGTGTTCATGTTCGCATAATGAGACCACTAAGGAAACCCTGCCTCTACATTCACTCCTGGGATCTAGGACAAATTACCTGCTTCCTCCACTGTGCTTTTTTCCCTGTAAGAAAAAAAATGAAAAGTGCGAATCTTCATCCAGGGTGTGTTCTCTTAGTTAAACTAATGTTGGAAACAATCAATAGACTACAACCAGGAACTGACTTGCCAAAGGAACTGAAAATTAGTGTCCTTCACGGACACAAGGGGAACTTAATCTTGTGGAGTGTGTGTTAGCTCTGGGAAAGGAGGCAAAGGCCTTCTTCAGAGTGATGACATTCAAAAAGGAAATCCATGCTGGGCATCACCCTGCCTTATCTCTGTACACCTTCACTCAATCTTGATTTCTCTTTTTTTTTTTTTTTTTTTTTTTTGTCACTTGGTGCATCCTACAAGACAGCCTCCTTTGCCTTCCAGAGCCGAGAAGTCATTCCTCCTAGCCAGGCACAGCGGTTTGTGTCTTCAGTGCCAATACTCGAGAGGCAGAGGAGGGTAGGAATGGTTTGTGTGTCGCTGTCAGGACATGCTGTTCAGGCACACCAGAGTCGGCAGGCACCCGTTCTCATGGCGAGGTCATGAGGTGCACAGAAGACGACACTTCTAAATGGGCCTGCCCTGAGTAGGGCCCAGGAAGCACGCAGCTCCTTGCGTGGATCTGCAAGTCAGTACTTTTCTCCCACGCTCCTTCCTAGTCAGAATGCCTCCTTCAGAGTCCCCGCAGCAATGGCTGTCTGGGCTCACGGGTGCCGCAGGCTTCCGTGGAGTCAGGACAACCTGCGTTTTGGTGGAAGACGGAGGAATCCATGAGGTTATTGGCTTCTTAATCTACATGCATTCCTATCTAAATGTGTTCCATATCTCACTAATTAATCCAGACGCAGGGTTTTCTGTTATAATCAGTGATTTCCCCACACATTTATCTCACTTTTTTTTTAAGGACACATTCCTAACCTTGACATTTCTGGGTTATGGACATTAACTACTACCAAACTGCTCATTATCTCATTGTCTTCTTAACTGCATCTCCGATTGCTAATAAGATGGTGCTAATTTCAGCCACCTCTCCCTCCTGTCTGGCTCACCTTTCTGTCCTCAATACTTGGCCCTCTACTTGTCCTGGATCAGTAGGCAAGAAACTGTCATTGCCAAAAAAGATATTGATGGTCTGTGAGTAGTAGGCTTCCTTGTGCGTCTTCCTTTGTTTGAAGTAAATTGCATTCTGGGGGGCAGGGAGACAGAAAGGGGGAGGGGAGCAACACATGGAGTTTATGTCAGAGAACCTTATAAATGATTGTTGCCTCCTGGGTTTCATTCATACCAGGTGACGTTGTAACAGTGAAGGCAGGGCCGCCCTCCCCTCCTTCGTTGCCACTCTGCCCAGCGTTGAACCTCCTTCCATCACATTCACTGCACGACCTGTCCCTGGCTGGCAGCCTTGGAACACGTGTTGCCGAGTCCAGAGATCGCTGTACTTTTCTGAACGAGGGTGGTGGGTACAGAAAGAAAAACTGGGCAGCCCTGTCTAGAACACAGTGGAAAGACATCCCTCAGGGCCAAGGAATGAAGGGCCTCTGTTCACCTTCTAACAAGTCCTCAAGCATGTGTGGAAGTGAGAAGGGGCCACATACATCAAAGGGCCGAATTTGGTCAGGAAATTTGGGCTATAAATTGGCGTTTGGCAATACTGTTGCCGTTCTGGCCTTCGGTAGTGGTTATCTTCTCTTACCCTGGCTCTTTGGAATGTTGAAGGCCACAGGGAGAACGTGAAGGCTTCTAGCCTGTAAAGTAAAAAAAGGGGGCAGGACCCCGAATTGCCGGGTGGTTTATGATACAGCCCCACAGCTGAACCCCACTGCTGTAGAGATGAACAAGTAGGGTCCTCTCCCAGGGCCAGGGGGCTGTGGGCCATCTCCAGCCATCCCTCGACATTCTTGCCTGACTCGCTTCTCACTGTCTGTCATCCTGCTTGGCCGCAACTGGTGGACAAGATCCTACCATCCCCATTAAGAGGTAGCTCCATGCCCAGCGTGTGTCTAGGATGGTCCTTGCTTCCATTGCCAGCATGGCCGAAGGAAAAAAAAAATGTTGCTGAGGATAAGCAAACATCAAGTATGATTCCTCACTCTGCCAAGAGCCTAGTCAGATAAGAACAATTCTTAATTACAATGATTGGATTTTTCTTTAGGAGTCAAATTACCCCTTGAAACATGAGACAGGATAAAGTGATCATGGGAATAACTTGTCATAAGCCTCTGAAGCCAAGAATAACCAAAAATCAAAACAGTAAGCTGAAATCTTAAGTTATCGTTGGTGTTAGGATGAAGTCGTGCATATGTTGGCTAAACTAATTATGGTATTAAGCCAGGCATGATGGCTTACCCTATAATCCAGCTTTCTTTTTTAAAGACAGGCTCTGGGTGCCCTGTAACTCACTTTGCAGACCAGACTGGCCCTGAACTCATGGAGATCTTCCTGCTTCTACCTCCCTAACACTGGCACCAAAGGCTTACACCTTCACTTCAGGCTTTCCTTAAAAAGTTGAAACTAGCCTGAGCTACATCATGGGTTCTAGGCCTTTCTGGGCTAAGTGATGAGACTACGTCTATGAGAAACAGAGGCTGGAGAGCTGGTTCAGGAGCACCACCTGCTCCTGTGGAGGGCCCGGCACCCACGTGGTGCTTCAAGCTGTCTGTAGTTCCAGTTCCAGAGGATCCAAAGACAACTTCCAGCCTCCACCAGTGCATATGTGCTACACATCTGTGCAGGCCAACACGCATAATATATAAAATGAACAAATCTGGGGCTGGAGCGATGGCTCAGAGGCTAAGAGCACTGGGTGCTCTTCCAGAGGTCCTGGTTCAATTCCCAGCAACCACATGGTGGCTCTCAACCATCTGTAATGAGATCTGGCGCCCTCTTCTGGTGTACAGGCGCACATGCAGGCAGAACATTGTATACATAATCAATCAATCAATCAATAGGTAAATAAATAAATCTTTTTAAAATGAATAAATCTAAAAACAAACATACAAAATGAACAAACCCACAAATGATATATATTATGTAAAATAAATAAATCTAAACACAAACAAAGTGAAACAAGCCCACAAAGGATTGACGTAAGTTGGGTAAAGGGGGTAAAGAAGGGACCTCTTTACTCCTGTCCCAGTCTCCTGAGATTCTGCGAGGCTTCCCAGGGTTTTGGTATGCATATGCAATAGAGTAGCACCACTCTGGCCCTGTGAAAACCCCTTGCATTACTCCAGGGCTACGTAGGCCATCTAGGACACAGGACAATATTAACAGGGCAGGTGCAAGTAGTTCGTGGTAATGTGGAGCTGGTGTCAAGTTTTAAGAGGAAGTGGCTCTCAGGAGGCAGTGTACCAAATACAGACTCTCAGCAACCACGTGTTTGGGGCAGCCATTTTTGCAACATGAATAACACTTCAGCATGTTTGTTTTTCAAGTCCATAGTAATCAATTAACTTTGGAGATGCCTGGTCATTTTTGCCTGTGGCAAGGGGTAAAGCCACAAATTGAGGACATCAGGCCTAGGGCCGAGAGCTGGTAACAACAGGGAACTGAAAGAGCTGAAGAGCAGAAAGGTGTGGCGGAATGGCACAAAGTAAGCAGAGGGGCCTGCCAAGGCAGATAGGCCGCGCTTGGGCTCTGGTTATTGTGAGATGCAAGTGCTGAGCTACACTCACTATTACTAGCTCTCTCTCTCTCTCTCTCTCTCTCCCTTTCTTTCTGTCACACACACACACACACACACACTCACACACAATCTGAACCTGAAAGTAGCCAGTGGACTCTGAGGACCTCAGGACACAGAGGTGCTGTAGTATAAAAAGCTCTCTACCCCTCCCGTGCCCTGTGTGGAGTGTGGGCTTCCCCCAGCACCTGACACGTATGTATCGGGTGTTTGCCGACTTGTTTTCCAGACAGTTCCTCGCTATGTAGTCCTGTCTGGCTTGGAACCTGTGGTAATCCTCCTGCCTCTGCCTCATGAGTACTAGCATTACAAGTATGCCCTGCCACATCTTGTTGAATAAATGACTAGCCAGGATTATTATTGAAATTCTGGGTTTTAATGCCTAGCATCCAAGAATCATTAAAAAAGGTGGTGGGGGGGTTTCAAACCCTGCTAAAAGTCTAAATAAAACTAAACAAAGTGATAAACATGTTTTTTGGTACTGGGGATTAAGCTGAGGTCCCTCTGTGTGCTGGGCCAGCACTGTGCCACTGAGCCATACTTTTGGGCCTCTCTCTGCCTTTCTTTTCTTTTTCTGCCTTTCTTTTCTTTTTCTGCTTTTTAAGGGCATATTTATTGCGAAGTTGTTATTGTTGGTGGACTAGTTCTCTTTGTGGCGTGTGGTAGAGACTACACAAGCTCTCTAGTGCTTAGCTTAGTGGACCCCTCTCCTCCCCAAGACAAGCCTTGCTATGCAGCCCCAGATGGCCTTTAATTCTAATTCCTTCTGCTTCAGCCTCCTAAATGCTGGGATTACAGGCATAAGCAAGTACCAGCCCTGTGTTGTAGT